AAAGCCGCGTCTCGTTGGGAGAACGACTGCACATAAACCTCCGTGTCATTGCTCCGCAGCTTCCTAACTGCGTATGCCCCCTCAATATGTAATTTTGCCTTGTCTAGCAGCTCTTCCGGCTGCATATTATCTGCTCCTTGAACTCTTATCCGAACTGCCGCTCGAGTCGCTGGCGGTGCAACGATGGAGGCGTGTGTGGGTCGCCCTCCCATTCCTAGTATTGCCGGAGCAGCCGTCTTGCGCGGCGGCTCCTCGAGATTCTTCGTAACTGCCTTCTCTAAGGCAAGCATCCTGTCCTACATTGGCTGTGCCGACATCTTCGATTGTAACATCTGAATGTGGGCTTTGAAAGCGTCGAGAGCCTCATCTATTTCCACCATTGGTGCCGCCGATATATATGAACCTGCGTTCACAAGTCCGCGTCGGACCTTACTTAAATATTTCGCCACTGTCTTTAAATAATCCATGTTAACGCCTGTAGAGGTCGCGAGAGACTCTACAGCCATAATTGCGGCTGTTCCGCTGCCCATTGTTGGTTTGGGTGGTGCCGTGAAAAAATTTTCAGCCGCGAATTCCGCCCTACTGGCTCCCCAACTCGCCATGCCGAAGCGCAACGAAAAAAATTCGAGGAATCAGGTAAGAGGGATTGATTAAGATGAATACAAAAATAATTACGATGAAACAACGTTCGTGGAACGTTGTGCCGCTTTTCGAGAAAAATGATGTTTTTTATTTATTTATTTATTTATTTATTTATTTATTTATTTATTTATTTATTTATTTATTTATTTATTTATTTATTTATTTATTTATTTATTTATTTATTTATTTATTTATTTATTTATTTATTTATTTATTTATTTATTTATACTTCTCTCCTAACGCCATTCGTAAGTAATTACCTCAGACAACCTATTAAGCAGACGATTCTATCCGCATGTAGTAAAATATCGCAGGTTTACAGCCTGAGCGAAAATAGCCATGCTAAAATTCGAAGCCGAGACACTAGCGAGTGGAATAAAATCTGCATGAACGAAATTGTGAGGCAGAGACAAAAAGAAGCAGGTAAGATAGCGGCATTCCAGGATTGGGAAAGCGCATGGAAAACTTTTAAGGAAGAGCGACTTTCTTCACACCAGGCGTCGGTAGACCCAGAACATTGGACAGCAGCAAGTAAAAACACCGATAAGAGAACAGGCAGAAAAAGAACCAAGCACAGAAACACACCCTCTAACATCCACCGAAACCTAAGCAGGGCCCAAAGTAGTATTGCAATACAGATGAGAAGTGAGCATATCGGCCTCAAACCTTGTATATATAGAAGAAAGGTCCCTGGACTGGCAAATCCAAAGTGCCAGTGTGGATATCCGTCACAAAACGTGAAACATATGGTCATGGCTTGTCCTCAGTGGGCTAGGGGAAGATGAGAGGTGGTACAAGAGGCAAAAGATAGGTCTTTCGAAGATATGGTGAACAGCCCGGAAGACACGAATAGAATTACAGAGTGGATATTTACAAATGGCTGGCTCGAACAGTTCCGGCTTGCAGAAGAAGTTGAGATAGCAGACAGCGAAAGGATTGAGTGATCGGGAAAAGGATAGGACGGTATTCACACTGGACGTACAGTGTAATCTCATTTCCTGTAGGAAACCTCTGAAAACAAATAGACACGAGAGAGACAGTTGGGGGGGGGTTTTACCGAATTTGGTTTCCTCCTAAGTAAATATGATAGCTAGATATACCTGCATGGGCCTTTTTTTTCTTCTTTAAATCATTTAAGTGTATTCAGCTATAGAGCTATGACACATGACCGGTGCTATGTATACATGTTGGATGACTCTTTTGACGTTAGAGACAATCACACTCTGGATTTCATTCGCAAATACCACTTTGAGGTATGCTTGCTTACACAAACAGTCGATCCTCCTCCGTAAGTACCAACCAAAGGGGCCTTTCAAAAACTTTGGTTATCCATGCATGCCTTCGTCATCCATGCATACCAGCGCCGCGAGAAATGTGGTTGTGTTTTGCCGGATTCGAACCAGCGATCTACTGTCTCAAGTGGGATATATGTCCAAGCTATCCAGACTCTACTTGGCAGACCGGCCAAGACGATGTACCACCGCACCATCAAACCATGGCGGTGTTTATAGTGTAGCCTGCATTCTCGCAATCGAAACCCCGGCGCGCACAAAGCTCAATTTGTAAAAGTCCTGGCCAAATTTCAAAATTTCACTCTCATCGAGGTTGTATCCATCCTCTGTAGCACCTTGTAAAATTGTCCTGATCCCTCTCACATCCATCCCAAGGAATTATCTTCCAAATTTGTGCGCCACGCTTTGCTTCCTCCGTCGGGTATAAATATCGGCGTGGGCGTGTATCTGGCGGCCAGCTGAGACCAGAGAAAGTCGAAGAGAGGTGTGGTCATTGAAATGAGGATATCCTAGGTCGTACTTGTAAACTTGATGAGGCTTAGGTAGGAATCGATTTCGTTGGGAGTGAAAGATTGATATGGTGGAGTATTTTGAATCATTGCCTCGTGGGCCAACTTGTTCGGTATTGCGAAGTTTGACTGAACTTGGCTCTGGGAGAATTTTTCACTCCCAGGTTCGTAGAGGACACCGGGTACAGGTGTTCAGTCTTACCCTCCTACACCCACACCTCATGTATATAGAGCTCGCTGTAGTTACTCCTATTACTCCTTCCATAGCCAATCTATCTTACATTCCTAAGGCTGCCTCTCTACTATTTTCATACCTCGTGATTGTTACTCATTACTCATCAGTATAATTAGTCATCATTTCTATGATGGCACATGAAAGATCATGAAGTCATAATGTCATTTGACTCGAATAGTCTTCGGAATTGTAGGATCAACTATACAAATAAGGCGTTGGATGTAGCAGTATTTTCGTTCCTCAGTCAGTAAATTTATTATCTTTCGACATACAAACGCCAAAGCTTTATAAATTGAAACTATCACACCCATCCACCAAACTGTGATCCACTAATCTACTCTATTCTAAATGTGTCTCATTCTCTCGTAAACCTGAGAAGTACTTTGTAAAAGACTTGAGTTATCGAAGTGTGACCGCTCCTTCACTTGACAGATCGTCTCTATGACTCGTCGTTTACATAACTGAGCGAATAATTACTGAGGCGTGTACCATCCACACAGTGCACTTCTCATAATTAAGTGAGTCGTGTAATCCGATACTAGAGGTTCCACATTCTGTTTGCCAGGAAAAAACCTTTCTCGATAGGGGGACTATTCTCAACACCTGTCAGTGGTGTCCCCTACGAACCTCCAGCTCTCACTGTAGAGTCTGCAGAGCCGAGATTGAGTAACAAAGTCCTCACTTCGAAGAGGATTCCCAATCGCTTTCGCGGTCTATATCGTCTTCATCTCTCAACACATTCCCCTATCACCACTATCATGAAGCTAACCACGATCAGATCAGATGGTAGGCTCGGAGCCCTACTCGTCACCCACCCTTGATCATGGAGGAAAAGCCATCCGATGAGTTTCCGGAGCGTACCCAGCACCCGATACGGAGATGGTGGATTGGATCAAGTCGACCTCGACTGTTACAAAGAAGGGAGATATAGATGAATATGCGCACCTCATGTGGTCCCGGTGTCTAGGCCTCGCCTGGCTGGGGCTGCAGGTTTTTTGAGACCTTTTCCCGCGCACGCAGTTTCCATTGCTACCATTTTTATTTTTTTTGGGTAGAAGGTTCCGTGGAAAAGGTGGCTGAATTCCACGGGTAAACACTGAGCTGAATGGCTATTCATCAAGGGGAATATATCAATGATCTTTCAAGTAACAAAAGAGGATAGGAGCACTGTACAAGGTGTGGCCTGGGTCAGAGAGGAGCCCAATGTGCTAGATAGTCATATACTCAAGTAGTACAATAAAACACACACACACACAAACCTTTCTCGATAATTAAATTTGTGAATTAAGATGCTAATGCGATGCAGCTATGTACCCTACTATGCCGAAGGAGTATTCGTAACGTGATCTGAACCTTAGGGCACTCGCAAGAGGCAAAATTATAGATCATTCGCTTCCTTCAGGGTATCAATAAAGATCACTCACTATTCTTGGCTCAACGGGGTTGGATTACTTGTTAGTCACCAATTTTGTGTTGTAGATAGTTACAGTTCACTGTGGTTACTCGAGGTTAATATAACACCAAATGTACTTTCATTTCGTTAGTTGAAAAGGAGACACACTGTAAGAATTGTGACTCCTCAGCGTTTGATACCAAATGAAAACTAGATACTGATGCTATTTTTGAATGGAATATGTGGAGGCATAGGACAATATTTACTATCAGAGGATTAAGTATTCATGTCATTTTGGTAGAGCCCCTTGTCCTCTTTAATATTCGAATGGGTAGGATGAACTGACCTATTGATTTTCACAGCTAATTCCTACAGTTAGTTATGCTTACTTGGCCTACTGCAGTAGCAAACTTGGCCAAAGTTAGTGACATTGCAAAAGTTAATTAGAAGAAAATATTAGTTATACATTAGATTTTGATCGCTATATCTAGTAATTGTTTTCTTTAGCTGCGGGTAAACTTGTTGTTCTCAGTAACATTTACAAAATTCTCGTGTCCAACAACGATATAATGATAATATTACATTTTTACTGGAGCTTCAGGACCAGAATTTTTACACACTCTCAAAGTAAAATTTTCTCCTAAGACTTATCTCTCTAAGTGATAATTAACTTGCTGTGCTATTATCTGGCTTGCAGGTAATGATTCAATATTTTTGATGGAGTTAGCTATATTCTGGTGCTCGGACGGAAAATTGTGTTGCTTATAGGAGCTTGTAATTTTCAATGGCGTGATGTGTATTTCAGGTTCAACTCATCATGAGAGCTGATTCGAGTTGCTTGAGTGATGAGTGTCTCAAATATGAACTCTGAAATTTACAGCTGGCACTATTTGACACGCAAATACTGAGGTATTTGCCGATTGCACTGATTAAGAATGCGTCTCCCAACTTTTGACTTCGTCATGTTGCTCCCTAGTTCTGGGTTCTAGATTCTGTATAAAGTTCTCTATACTCTCGAAGTATCCTTCTTCTAACACGCTTGTATTATGATCTCCGTTAGGGAGCGGTTTCCAAACTTTACTAATCGCTTGACTTATTTCATATAGTTGGCGCATGTGGTTTGGTCTGTTCTGGCTGATTAGCTACCACTCAAAAGATAAAGAATGTAAGAGATTCTTTATACCCAAACTTTTTCTCAGTAGAATGACAAAAAGCTGGCAAGGCAGTCATTTACATCTCGGTAATATACAAAGCATATGCTCCATCTAGGGCTAAGGAAAACTTACGGAACTATTTCATCCTTCAGCCCTGACAAGAAAAGAATAGGAATTTTTCTTATCTTCGGTATAAAGTTCTCTGTGTCCCAAATCTGGTGACATAAAGGAGTCAGATAGCGGGCTGATGGTATAATACTAATTCTATTAGCCGCGCGTACACTATATTTTTTTCAAATTACCTTGGAATAAGTTTTCTCATGCTTAAGAAGGTGTTTTCTAGTATCAGTCCATTTAATCGTATATCATCCTGAAACTTGGCAGTTAGTTGAATACTGACGGCTCCACCTATGCTTTGTCCGTAAATTATAATATTATGCGAAACTAGATCTGCACGCTGTCTTATGTATAAGTAGGCTGCTTCAGCGTCTTTCATTAGTCCCACTTCATCAGGTGATCCTGTAGAGAGCCCGTATCCACGATATTCTACCATTAGAACATGATATCCCATATTCTGTACTAGCATCTTAGCGATGGGAAGCCGATGTCCAATATTTCCTGCATTTCCATGGAACATTATCACCGTGATATTTTTCGGTATGCGTGAACGGTCGGGAGCTCGGATATAAAATGCATGAAGAGATTCGGAGTCGGTTGTGGGAATGCGAATCTCTTCATAATCATGTAAATCGTATCTTGAGGGACGTAATACTTCGGAACGAGCATCACTAGGAACATTTGAAGGGTAAATAAGAGTTCTGATGTATGGATCAGCTATGAACGCGGGATCCTTTCGGAGACTCTGACTTTTGTTTGAGATACAGAGTCGTACTAAGCAAAGCGGCAATACCCTGCTGTCATGTGAGTGAATTTGTGTGCAATAGTAGCGATAAAGGGGATAGGGAAATACCGAAGATAGATATATAGGTACTTTTAAATAGCTAGCTATCAAGCTAATTGTATTGAGCGACTGCTGGAATAAACTATTTTGAGTCTCTAGAGGATAAGACATAGCTGTGGTAAGACCATGCAGTGTACGTGAAGTGTTCGATAATATGGTTGTGTTCTAGTGAGCTTGGTAATTCTATATGTGATACTTCAACGTGGGGTATTTAAGGCTCGGGGCTTGACGCGGGCTGTCCTGGATGGACATAACACAATGTTTATGCTAAGATATTTTTAGTCCTGTTAATTCTAGGGAAATGTAAGAACATTGAAGGCTTTAGGTAGACAATACGATCTTAGGTAGTAGCCTGTTACTGCACTAGTTGGATTAATGATGGTTTTTCCATAAGAGAACCCCTGCACGGAAATTGTGAAGATATATTTTACATTGTTAACGAAGACAAATCGGCCGAGTTTCTGCTTCTTGGATGCACTAAATTTACTTTGAATTTATGAAGGTATTAAAAAATGGCCAATGTAGTAAAAAGGTAACCATATTTCTCATGTAGTTGAAGAACACAATTCGTATATTCTACCAGTTCTTTTGATTTCCAGCACAGATTGAGCAAGAAGATTTATCAATTGCTATATCTGTGGAGGAACAATTACCCAACCCGGTGGAAAAGTTGATTAATTCTCTGACAACCATTTTTGACGTCTAGATTGCGAGATCTTAGTATCAAGGAAATTGGCTTCAGCAAAATCTCTGACGCATCTAGAACAACAAATATAAGTTAGATGTCTCTCTTTGGCATACTATCAACTCTAGTTGGCTTCGCTGCTCTGTTTCCAATTTCTTGGATTTTTCTTTCAATCTTGTCTTGCTGTGCTAGTAAAGAATTCCTCCGCTGTTCAAGCATCTCTATTGCTTCTGAAGGAGTGACTTGCAGTTGCTTTTCGGCCTTCTGATATTAATTTAGCAGTTGGAGTCAATGGACATGCGTCTCGCTATGACTGCTGCTTACCTTTTGAGCCTGCCTCTGGACTTTTAGCGATGCGCCAGACCATGTTCCAAATACAGCGGTTAACGCAACACCAAAAGCGAGAGCATAGCTCCTAAACTTTTGCCGATGCAAAGGTGTCATCTTGATATCTCACTAAGGAGCTGCTAAAATATTTGTATGCGCATTGATAAACATTAGCCTCGCTTTCGCTTGGGAATGAGCCAATGTCCGTCAAGAGTAGTTTAAGACCAACACAGCCGAGCATCAAAGAAGGGTAAAGACCAACCACCTGTTTGGAGTGCCATATGTGAACATGCTAATGAAAAATACTCTCATAGCCATGTTCATTCAAAAATTCCCGATATCAAAGACGTTGGCCCTCAAGACAAAAATTCAATTTTCCACTGCATCGATCTCTCTCACGATGAGATCAATTCCCACCAAAATATCAAGTTAACTAGTTCGACCTAATACATCCTCATTTCAATGATCTCACCTCTCGTCAAGTCAGTCTCTATCCTTAAGTGGCCCCGAAAAACACTCCCGCGCAAATAATTATACCTACCGGAGTAATGAGATCGTAGTGCAAAAACGTGATGGGCATTTTTTGGTGTGGACAGGATAGGTACTAGGACAGGTCGGCAATATGACGCAAGTAATGGATGCAATTTAGGAAGGAATAAGATCTCGAGTTTCTGAAAAGAGCTTTACATACTGATTATTGTGCACCACACGACCTCGATTGTGAGAGTGTTAGCGACTCTTTAAACACGGTAATAGTTAGACGCAGCATCAGCAGATCATATAAGCTGGTCTTCCATGTAGATTACGGGTAACTTGGAGACTTATTCCAATCGAGATAGAACATAGCTGGTTTTATTCCAGCAAAGTACTAGCAATTTATATCAGTGCTCACTTGAAAGAACGCTGAAGATATGCTTGAATAACCAAAGATTTTGAGACTTCTCCATAGAGAGTTATCACAGAGGATTGACCGGTATACGCAAGTAAAGTTTACTCATAGCGGTATTGGAGAAAGACCCCGATGCTACTGGTATACCTAGAGTCAAAATATTCACATAGCAATGCCACAGCTATTTAGATTCACAATTGAATGATTAAAAATAAGTAAGATGGTTACCTGATTTTGTATATTTTCCCTGCGCTGCACACCAGCAAATAGCTGTAGCTGCATTGGCTAGAGAGAGAAGATGACGAAGTGTAACGGCTCCTTTAAGTATGTACCCAACTGAAGGTAAATGGGGGTACTGTCACTCGAGAGAAATCGTGAAGAAAATATGGGCACTCCAGTCCTGTAAGCGGAAAGAAACCACTGGCCCTGATGTGGTCTTGGCCTAATGGTATGATTAATGATCAGAAAAGCATAATGTCACCTTCACCTTTACGCATGTGACCTTATGCTACATCGATTGTCGCCTTTTTCTAGCTGAGGTTATCTATCGTTTTTTCGGGACTCCATGTCGCTTATCGTACGCAGGTTGATTCTTCGAGATCCGAGAGTTTGATAGTCAATAATTCTGATTGAAAATGCCCGGCTCCATGCTTAAATGCTGAAGTAATCTGCATGCTGCTCCACGTTTTCGGATAATTTTTTTCCTCGTGGGAGTTACAGTTGGTTCATGAACTTTGAGATTAATTACAGGATATAGATAGATGATGCTCGATTGTTAACATGCTAATGATGGCCTAGCGTTTCAGGTTATCATTAGTAAGCAATAGATACTCCTGACCTAGAATGTCTTGCTGATAAAAGGAAATGATTAGAGTTTGCGAACGTTGTGATTCGGCGAAACTAAATACCCATGATTCATGACATTACGTTGATTGTGGTCTGTGCTTCTTGGGGCCTTTCCAAATTCTAAGATCACCAACATTCCTCCATCAACATAACTCTTCACATCATGACAACCTTGGCAGCGACATCGCTGAGACAAGCCTCCCGGGTATGCCTCAAGCAGCCAACAACCTCTCCAAGCTATCTGAAAGCCCCAAGTATTATACGATCGTCTAGAATAACTAATTCAGCCACTCCACACCGACATTATGTTTCCGAGACTGCTGATAAAATGGGACAAGTTGCCGCACATACTGAAGCCCCTTTAGAACCACACATATTCTTCCCTGAATCTGGAAAAATTTCTAGTCGGAATACAATTTCAAGTAATAGAAATAATACTGAAACTGAAAAGGGACCGATTACTGGTAAGTAACTTTGATTCGGTCCATATCAATACTTATTATGAAGATGTTATCAAGCAGGCGACGATAATGGAACAGGGTACGCGCCCTATATACCTCGATATGCAAGCAACAACGCCCTTAGACCCAAGGGTACTCGATGCAATGCTTCCATTTTACTCTGGTCTTTATGGAAATCCCCATTCAAGAACACACGCATATGGTTGGGAGACAGAAAAAGCGGTTGAAACGGCACGTGAACATATTGCCAATTTGATTGGAGCAGATCCAAAGGAAATTATATTTACCAGTGGTGCCACAGAGAGTAATAATATGAGTATCAAAGGAATCGCTAGGTTTTTTAACAAGTCAGGAAAGAAAACACATATTATAACAACCCAGACTGAACATAAGTGCGTATTAGATAGCTGTCGCTACTTACAAAATGAGGGATTCTCGATCACCTATCTTCCTGTCCAGGCAAATGGCTTGATAAACATGAAGGAACTTGAAAATACTATACGACCGGAGACTGCACTTGTCAGTATAATGTCTGTAAACAACGAGATTGGTGTTATACAGCCTTTGGAAGAAATAGGGAAACTTTGTCGAGAGAAAAAAACTTTTTTTCACACAGACGCCGCCCAAGCTATCGGAAAAATTCCAATGGATGTCAACAAAATGAACATAGATCTAATGTCTATTTCTTCTCACAAAATTTATGGACCGAAGGGGATAGGAGCTTGTTACGTTCGACGGCGCCCGCGAGTACGTATCGAACCGATATTTAGTGGAGGAGGACAAGAAAGGGGACTCCGAAGTGGAACTCTCGCTCCGGCATTAGTCGTCGGATTCGGGGAAGCATGTCGAATTGCTCAGGAAGAAATCGATGTAAGTTACAAGCGCTCCATCCTGACTCCATATCAAACATGATGCTTTCTTTTCATATGCATGGCTTGCCTAGTGATCTCCTTGCTCGCAAGTTGAGGTTTCCTTGACGAGATAATAAGACCTTTCTGATTCCCTGATTTCCTGAATACAACGTTTAAATCGTCCAAAAAAAAACTGACAGAACCTAGTATGACTCAAAAAGAATAAAAAAGCTATCAGATAAACTCCTCCATGGTCTAACTTCTATGGAACATACGAAGCAGAACGGAGATCCTGACAAGTTTTATCCGGGTTGTGTCAACGTTTCGTTCTCTTACGTCGAGGGCGAGTCATTATTAATGGCTTTGAAAGATATTGCATTATCATCTGGTAGTGCATGCACTTCAGCTTCTCTAGAGCCAAGTTATGTTTTGCGAGCATTAGGAAGTAGTGATGAAAGTGCTCATAGCAGTATCAGATTTGGAATCGGGCGATTCACCACGGAAAGTGAAATTGATTACGTTTTAACAGCGGTCAAAGACCGCGTCAACTTCCTAAGAGAGTTAAGTCCTCTTTGGGAACTTGTACAAGAAGGCATTGATCTTGGAAGTATTCAATGGAGTCAGCACTAGGTCCTGATCCCAACGTATAACGATTGGCGTATGGGTAGCGGGTAAATTTTGTCTGTATGATTGTAGAAGTTGAAATCCAATATTCTAACACAATATTTATCTGAGAATTTTGATAGAGCATTATACGAATACGACTGCTACCGCGGTAATATAGGATGTTCAAATTCCGCTTATGTCTATGTCATAAAATTTGGGAGAATCACAATGAAATTTCTCCATTTAGTTAAATTTTCGTTACTTCCCGCCTGTGAGTACTGATTCCTCTTCTATGAAATTTTCACATGATGGCATGCAATCACTATGTTAAAAGTTGCCGGCGCGTTTTGCAGAGACTATACGAATAGTCGTACAAATAAAGAGAATACTAAGAAGCTGGGATAATTGGAACCATCAAGTAGATCTTCTTGCTGATATACAGGTGACCACGAATCATGTACATTTAATTTGGTATTTGAATGTATGCGCTCTGTAAATTCAGTGACTAAGGGGTCATTATTAATTAACATGAACACTATTTAACTTCCAAGGCCACCTCAGGCCTTACTAGCCGCAAAATAATAGTAAAGTTGTTTTAACCAAATATAACGACTTGTGAGCCGAGTTTTTTATGCCACGTGACTTCGGTCAATTGTTTATGTTAAACTCCAATGTAGCATAGCTTTATTCCTGATAAGTGCAGCCACAACTGGAACATTCTAGTAATTTGTAGCTAAACAGGGAAGTTCTTTGAGAGAAGTGTGCGAGAAGCGGGTATCAACCATGAACAAGTATTCTAGATATTTACATAAGCGTACAAATAATTGAAGTAATAGTTCGATAACTAGCGAAAGAGAAACTTACATATCACGGTTCGAATGTCGATACGGGCGCAATCAAACTACCTCCGTATAACTGATTGCTCTAGCATCGACACTCAAACTGTGATACCAATCACTAATATCGCACTCACACATATTCTAATGAAAGATGCAACTCACTACCTAACTTATCCCGCACCTATTAAGAAATATACTGAAGAGCGCAAAGGCTCGATACCTGCCGGTAATCTTCTCTACAATCTTTGGGGTTAAATGATAACTCAGATCCGAGATGGACTAATGATGAGTGGTAGAATTAAGAAACGGCGACTGGATGTTGGGACTTTGGTGCGATTGCGTAAACCACCAACTTCAACCATTTACATTCCAAGTGTAATGGGTGCTCCGTATATCACGTGATCTATCACGTCATAAACTGTATTTATAAGTAATTAACAACACTTACACAACGAACGACAGTCATCTCACAGCATATTCTCATTTGTAGATTGTACTGTAAAGACCCTTCCGTTCTGGCTCCGATCAGAAACAACCACAAAAACATCAAACCCCCCCTTACCACCCTTCACAAGTCGCGTCAAAAACCGACAACTGTAGCCAAACCGACACCAGAATCAAGCCGCATCCCGCGCTCAGCGCGCGCGAGAGCAGCCCTCCCGACTATGGAGGGTCTTACCCAATCTCAGGCGGTAGAAGCCATTCCCTTCTATAATCCAGCTCTTAGCGATTGGGACACACCCGGGAGCAGCCAGCAGCTTGACATGGAGATCGATCCAATTAATTACGACGATCAAATCGAATACGACGACCCCATAGACGACCCATTTTCAGAGCCAGCTCCCGCGGGCCCAATGCAAGACACTCTGACCAAGAGCGTAAACTCTTTGACAGCCCGAGCAAAAGAAGCAGAGACCCTTTTTGGAGGTATTTCTGCACTAATCGACAAGCATAGCCGCGCACCCAACTACGCTACACTACCCGCCAAGCAAGCTGAAGCATTCAAAAGCCTTTGCAATGATTTAGCTAAAGTCGCAGCACGGCATTTCGATGCTTACCTCTGTGATAAGCCAGTGACCGTCACCATCGACGCCGCCACGTCCAACCGCAATGCCCCAAAAACTGCGCAGACCTACGCAAATGCAGCTTCAAGGGCGTCCAATAAGCAATTCGCCGGTCGCCACACTCCAACCCTCCAAACACCCGCTAAAGCGCGGCTTCAGCTCAAGCCCACCCGCACTGATGATCGTTTATTTGTCCGTATCCCGGAAGGTAATACACTCCGAGATCACTCAGCATACGCGATACAATCCCACCTGAAAGCTAAGCTTGGCAATGAGGGTCAGATTCTTACAAATGTGCAGTCAACAAAGACTGGTTTCGCTCTCTGCCCCAAAGACGGAGACTCAGAAAATCTCATGGAAAAGATAAAGTCCGTTAGTTTCTTCGGGGACGCACCAGTTGAGAAAGCAACACCATGGACTTCCTACCGCATAAAAAATGTTCCCCGGACATATGGAGCCCTGGAACACATCAACGAAGAATGGAAGTACTGCCTTAAGCCCGTCACAGCTGAGGCGTTGAAGGATGCCCTAGCCACGGCAGCTGGAGCGGTACCTGTAGCTATTGCGGCTTCTCGCGACAATGATGCTAATCCAACGTCCTCATCGACGACATGGATCGTGCGTTTCCCAGAATCACATCAGCGCCTGCCACGAACCCTCTTCCTCCTTGGCTACCGCACGCAGACAAGAATTTTGCCCAAGCGTCAGATGGCTGTCCAGTGCACCCGGTGCTGGCTCTGGCACAATACACGCACATGTGCCTCCGACCTCAGATGCCGCCTTTGCGGATCCTCCAGACACTCCGAAAAAGACCATGCCAATCAATGCGGCGCTACGGGCCAACATATATGTCCCAACAGATGTATCCACTGTCATGGGCCCCATCCCGCGGACGATGTCAGCTGTCACCTCCGGCCTAAGCCCTCCGGTCCTCCAAAGACCAAGAATCAAGTAACTGCTATCCGCCAGATTAACGCAGACGCTCGCCTACGGAAACAAGCAGAAGCTGGCTGTATCAAGGCTACGGCCAGCCCCAAAACCCCGCGTACTACGGCCGCAACTCCAGCTGAAATAGGCCAAACCCAGCCGGTTTCAGTAAAATCCATCAACCCCTACGAAGTTCTACTCACAGGGGATCAGAGCAACGACCAAGCGCAATCGTAATGACCCCTTTACGGCGCCGCAAACATAACAACTGCCCATTAAAAATAGTATCTGCAAATGTCGGCCGCGGAGCCCAAGCGCACGAGTTAGCTCTCAACGAAGCCAGCCTAGCCTCCGCTGATATTGTCCTAATACAAGAACCGTACATTTACAGCGACCGCGCCAGGCGGATCACCAAACGCCACCCATCCTTTGAGTCCTTCTCACCTATCGACGACTGGACATCTTCACGACCCAGGGTGATGTCCTATGTGCGGAAAAATGCCTGTCTCTGTTCAGAACAGGGTTATACGGCATTCTCAGGCGATATGCTTCTTCTTAAAATTATCTCGTCCTCTGGTAAGTCCATAAGCATTATCAACGTCTACAACGCTCCTGCAGGACCCACCAGCAATAGCGTTCTCGATTCTCTTTACTCTCTCACCCTCCCATTCGAAGGCAATCTGCTTATCTCTGGAGATTTCAACCTACACCACGCCAGATGGCAGCCATCATGGACCCGCAGCCCCTCCCCCGGCGCCGAAAAATTCACAGAATGGGCAGATAAAAATAGTCTCTCTCTTCTATCACCTGCAGATATGGCAACGCATGACCGAGGCAATGTACTCGATTTAGTTCTCGGATCCAGCCCTCTAGTTCAAAAGACAAAGTGCACCCTCGCTCCACACCTGGACACGACGTCAGACCATGCCACAATACTCACTTTAGTAGATTGGGAAGGCTATACTGAACCCCTCCGCAGGCTCAGATTCGACACGTTGGATAAGGATCTTTTCCTCCGTCTCCTATCCATCAATATTGATGGTATTAGTCCAATTCCACTAGCTTCCACCAGGGAGGCGCTGGACAGGTGTGCTATAGAGTTAACAGAAGCTATTCGTACAGCATACACGGGCGCAGCCCGCCGCTCACTAGGCCATGGTAAAGGGAACCCATGGTGGGATATATCATGCAAACAGGCTCGCCAAAGATACAAGAATGTCCGTTGCGGACCCATAACAGAGGAAGGTGTTGCCAGAGAGAGAAAGGAGTATCGGGGCACGATTGCAAGGGCAAAGAAGGCATACTTCACTAACAAGATTGCCGCAGCCAGTACGGGCAAGGACATCTTCGCTCTGACAAAATGGCATAAGTCCACGGGTAACTTCCGATCCACTCCCCTTAAAGATCCTAGGTCTCCAGACCGTCCTCCTGCAACATCGTTGCCAGAAAAAAGGGAAATTCTACTCGGTAATTTACTCACAAACCTGACCGTAGTGGATGATATCCCTTTGGATACCCCGACAGTTGCAAAACGCTCCATTTCGTTCCCACCACTCTGCCAGGACGAAGTTCAGGATTCGATTCTTAGAGCAGGAAATACAGCCCCTGGGGTTGACGAGATCCCGACTGCCATATTGCGTATAGCTTGGCCCCTCATCGGAGAACATATTTTCTCACTCTTCAAAAGCTGTCTCACTCTCGGTCACCATCCTGTCTGCTTCCGACAAGCTGTTTTAATCATGCTTCAGAAGCCAAACAAGGCAGACCTATCTTCTCCTCGCTCATACCGCCCGATAGCACTTCTCTCCGCACTTGGGAAGGTGTTGGAGCGGCTGATAGCCAGACGTATAGCTTGGATTGCGACCCGAAATACGATACTCACCACCCAGCAGTTTGGTGCTCTCCCAGGAAGGTCAGCCGTCGATCTCACCACCTGTCTTACACATGATGTCGAAAGAGCTTTGAGCGAGGGGCGCACGGCTAGCATGCTGACACTCGACGTGAAAGGAGCCTTTGATGCTGTGCTCCCAGGCCGGCTTGTCCGGCGTATGCGGGAGCAAGGCTGGCCAGAGTTCCTTGTCAACTGGGTAGCCTCTTTCGCTACTAACCGTTCAGTACAAATCCGTCTCGATGGCGAGCTAGGTCCTCTCCAGTCAATCAACTGTGGTCTCCCACAAGGCTCCCCTGCCTCACC